TTGGCGGCTGTGCGTGGGAGGTCGAGGCCCTCCAGCGTGCCCCGCTGCTGCTCGAGCCCTCAGGGGTTTGCCTTGGTGTTGACCCCCGGGCTCTTCCCTGAGGGGCGGCCTCCTGCAGGGGCACGGAGAGCTCCTCAAGCTGCCTTCGCCGTAACCAAGGGAGGCTGGTAATAATTGAGAAAATACCCAGCTCTCTGTATCCTATCCCATGACTGCATGCCCCAACCTTTTTTAAACTCTGCCGTTGTCATTATTATGTGCCCCAAGAACTTGCTGCTAGTAAGGCTGAAAAAGGGCAGCGTTGAGTTTGGTGACATTTCGGAAAGGCCGTCCCGTTGCTCCCTGAGCGGCTCACGCAAGGGCACCTCACCTGTGACCTCTCCCTCACGGCTTCAGGGTGCTTGCTCGTGTTCCCGCCGAGGGTTTTCTGTGCAGATCTCGTCATGGGCTCCATGCCGCACACCTGCCCCTGAGCGGAGGGTTTCCAGCCTCTGCCAGCCCCAGGGGAGGGACGGGCTGGCTGCAGTGGTAGTTGCCAGGCTGGTTTATTTTGGAACACAAACCCTGTGTACCCTTCAGGAGGAAACAAGCCCCAGGGCAGCGTGTGGGAGACAGCACCAGAAAAACAGCCGTGGGGTCTGTGTGTGACTTGTGCACGCATTTATGAGGGGGCACCTGCAGCAACATTATTTTTTTCTGGTTTATAGTGGATCAAAAAAGATTTTTCTTTACAAAAAGTGGCTTTGCTTGGCGAAGGGAAAGTCAAATATATAGAAACATGTGGCTGGGGGCTCACTGCACTGGAGCCTGTGGGTTCCCTGGGCTGAACCTGCGGTGTTAGTAGCTGGGAATTTTGTTTTTTTGCTGTGGGAAGCGTGTCAGTGTGGAAGTGCTTGCTTTTTTGGGGGGAAAAAGGCCGATTTTTGAAACTGAAGGATCCCCGTGCTTGGGGGCTTGCATGACCCGACCCCCGTGCAAGGGGTAGTGCGTGTGTGTCCCGGGTCCCCGCGCAAGGCATAGGGAGTGGTGGGGGGGGGCGGCCCCGCTC